TAACATGGCTAACTACCTCCCTGTACTCCTATAAATCTGGGAATATTCCAGGTTCTTTGCGCTAAGGCACACTAGGATTCGTTCCCAGCCAACTGTGGGAGAACTTTTCAAAATTTTCCTCAGGATGAATTATTAAAAGGCACTGAAGAACCATCAGTACTTAAATGATTTATTCTGAATCCTGACCATTTTAGCTTGCATCCCAGTAGGCAAGCCAGTTGTAACTTAAGCAAGCAGTTAACAAGATAAATTTTATTCTCTTTGTTACAATAAAGCAGTTAGTTTTAAATGCAAAGCACGCTTTGGTAAAATTTTCCCCCTTCTGTATTCTATGAAGTGAGATTTTTTTTTTTAAACTGAAAACATTTTTAAATGCTGCTTTTATTTTAAAATTAATTCCAATTTCCATCCAAAATTTTGAAAACACAAAAAAATATATTTAGAAAAGGGGGGGGGGAAGAGAGAGAGAGAGAGAGAGAGAGACTTCATTCTCTTTTTTATTCCCTTATTAAAAATTATATTCCTGTGTACAAAATATCTTGCGGGTTGAGGATTTATTTTCCTGGCCTGTTATAGCCATGTGAATCTGAATGAGAAAATATAACAGTCTTTGCTAAAATCTCTCGTATACCTACACACCATGAACTAGGATTTCATTTCTGTGATGGCAAGAACTGTTCTAAGCCACACAGGAAAAGTTAATATGCATATAGGATGTCTGCTCCTAACAATCACACCAACACCTTCCTATCTGAGGTTTCTAGGCTTTAAATCAACTCTGAATAAAAGAACTAAAATCAAATCTGGAACTGTAAGTTAAAATGTACAGCAGTAGAATTTGTATGATAGTCTTTAAATTGTCCCAAACATCTGCAATTATATTTGATTAAAAAAAAAAAAAAAAAAGCAAAGCTGGTTTAACAGGATTTACTGAAAACCACTAGAAAAAACAGTAAGGTATGGAAACAAGAGCAATTTACTGCAAGGTAAGTTGGGGTGGGAACTTGATACAGACCAGCTGGTGCACTAAGCTCTTATCCCACAAGGGATTCAGCCCAGTTCCCGGCTACAGGAAAGCTCACAGTGCAGGCTTTACTTCCCTGCCCAGGCTGGGAGCCAGGCTGATTACTTGGCCATGCCTCCTCCTTGGTTCCTGGGCTGGCTGAGGAGGGAGTGGGGGGAGAAATGGCCCCCAATGAGGGCTCCCCACTGCACCTCGCACAGCCCAGCAGGGAGTCCAGAGTTGGGCAGCAGGTCCATTCCCACCCCTACTCCCTCCTCAGCCAGCCTGCTGGTCAAGGAGGGGGCATGGCCAGGTGATTGGCTCAGCTCATGGCTCCAGGTATGAAGGGAAAAGGAGAAATGCCCCACTGAGGTTTCCTCTTTCCCCTGACACTGGTGAGACCCCAGCTGGGGGTCCAGTGCCAGGCAGAGGGGAGGGTTTCCACCCAGACTGAGGAGGGGGCATGGTTAGGGGGACTGGCTCTGGGAAGAGAGGAAGAAGCACTTTGCTGGGGGCTTCTCCCCCTTCCCTCTGTGTGTGGGAGACCCTGGCTGAGGGTCCAGTGTGTGCTGGGGGGGATTTCCCCCCAGGCAACCTCTTCATCTGGACTGGACTGGACTGGACTGAGGAGGCAGAGTGGAGCTAGGGGCACCAGCTCTGGGCACAGGGAGAGGAGGGAAAAACACCCACCAGGGGCTTCCCTCCTCCCCCCCTTCCCCAGCGCTGGAGACACCCCAGCTGGGGGTTTGGTTGGGGAGTCCCCCCCATGCCCCATCCTCAGCTGACTGGTGGATAAAGAGGAGGTGTGGCTGGGAATATCACTCATCTCCCAGCTCTGCACTGCCCAGAAGGCTGGGAAGTGCATTTTAGCACCCCTGGCTCCAGGTACGGGCCACTGCAGGGGTTTGGCTGCCTTTCACTTTTGAAAAGTGAACATCAGTTCACTTTTTTATTGGCTCAATCTAAGTAGTTTACAGAAACTTGCAAGGATTGAATCAATTGAGGTGGTCCAGTCATCCACCCAGGCGATCTTCAAAAAGCATCTTGATGCTCATCTTGCTGAGGTCATCTGATCCCAGCAGTCTTTCCTGCTCAAGTGCAGGGTGGGGCTGGACCCAATGATCTGTAAGGTCCCTTCCAGCCACTAACAACTATGAAATTATGAATTCAACCTCAGGCTTTTTGACTGTCTGTATTTAGCCATATAGTGCCATACTTGGATCATCCTTTTTCCGTAACTCAACTCCTGTACAATTTGAAAGTATTTTCAGATAATGAGAAGGTGGTTGCATGAATTTATCCACAACTGTCACTCTGGTCAATTACTTTGTTGTACTACTTTCAGAATCTGTTAGATTTTGACATTTGGGCTGGTTTCTTGTTAAGAGCCACAAATAAACTCCTGTCTTTTCTTGCCATTACTACTTCATCTGGCACACTTCTAGTCCCTGACCAAACATGCCTAAAACGAAAAAAGTAATGGTTAAAGCAAGACAAGTTATCCTATTTGTTTCTTTTTATTATGCTGAGGGGCAGTTCTTACAAAATTCCAAAAAGGGGGTTTTAACCACAGGATTCTGAATAGACTGCATTTTTTCTGAACTTTTCATTAAGGTGTGGTTCATCCTTTTCATAATACAAGACAGGCTAAAAAGTGCAACAAGGATGTACAATACAGGGCCAGTGATACCCTATCTTCCTTGAGGGCTAAGGAATGGGAGAGAGAGAATACCATAGTTTTGTTAATGCATAAGCAATTATTAGGAGGGCTATCACAGGAATATGTTGACTCTACCTTTCTTAGTACTCTTTAAAAAAAAAAAAAAGTGTTGCCTCTTTGTTAAGCCTAGCACAGATTCTTACTATCTGAAGCTGATGCTAGTGCGACTATGCATGTATGGACCTCAAGAATCATTATATGCTGAATGTACTGCTACTTTAAATTTGAGCTCATCTTCATCTCAGAAAGCTGTCCAAACAATCTTTACAGCACGTCTTTCATTTCCCAAATCCACTGTGAGCTTCCCTGCAGATCCACAATTCTGCAACATGTTGCCAAAGCTGCTGTCCTCCACTGCTACAGTCATCCCCATTTTGCACTTTGAAAATGTAATAGCTTGTTATAATCAAATACAGTTTCTCTTTCAAGTGACAAACCTCATAGCAGCAGGGCACTGGCAGCCATTATCCCCATTTTTTCTGTGGCAAATTAGGGCTCCTATAGACTTGCAGTAAGGCTGCTTTGATGTGCTGTAAATCTAGCATGTCAGAGCAGACTCAATTAACTGGGTCTGCTGGAGTGTGGAAATTGATGTGCTCCAGCAGCTTCCAGCATCACACGTATCAGTGCCCCCATGCTGAAAAATGGTCGTGAGGGGCTTAAAACTAAAACTTGTTCAATAAGCTTTAGTTCAAAGCATCCCACTGCCATTTTTCAGTGCAGGAACCCTAATACCCATTGTGATTGGGTGCTTTTAATTAGTGCAGCTGAATAATGAAAGTGTCTCCCTCGACTGCCCCCACCTCCTAGAGCACATCTATAAATGCCCTTAGGGTGTCATATTTGTATGTTTTATTTAGGGTCATGTTGTATGAAGAAAATATGGTAATAAATACTGCTATGCTAAACTGCAACTTGCAAGCTTCAAGTCTGTAGAAAGTTACAGGCTCTGAAGCACTGAGAATGACCAATCACAGGAGGGGCTCTCCTACAGAGACATAGCAGGGCGACTGCACCTTGGGCAGCAACAGTGCATTAGGTAGTGGATGTTATAGCTGTGCCTCCCTCCTAACCATCCTACCCGCTACGTGCATAGCCAAGACTTCTGCCCTGGTTACTATACCCCCACCCCCAAATGTGCTGTTCTCCTGGGACATTTATACACATGCTCCAGTACATGGGGGTGCTTTAATTAGAGCTGCTCCATGAGCCACTCTAATTAAAGTGCCTGGAGCATCATGTGTATCATCGTTCCCATGCTGAAAAATGGTGGTGGGGGTGCTTTAACTAAAGATCACAGAATAAACTTTAAAGCACCCCCAGTGCCATTTTTCAGCATGGGGTCGCCGACACACTGGAGTCCGCTGGAGCACAGTAATTACCACACTACAGAAGATTAAGCGAGTCTGCTCCAACACACTAATTGGAGTGTGCAATTACAGTGCGTTGGAACAGCCTCAATGTACATGTATAGGCACCCATAGTTCCCATTCCTTTATGCCAAAGAGCCTTATGGCAAAGAACAGTAAGATTCTGTTTCTGCTTCTTGAAACATTTGGAAAACTCTGGGTGCTAATTTGGAGAGACTCAGGAGAGAACTACATTCAAAAGTAAAACATTCACGTACTACTTTAACAAACTTGGCAGACAACTATTGATTTATGTTCAGAATATGAATGACAGTTTAATTACCATCTGCAAATCTGCTTCTCTGAACTGTGAAGATGACTAATCATTGGTCCACAATATCTACACATACTCATGACAGGAGATCCAGAGAAAAAGCAACAGTTATTTGCAATGTGAATAAGATGACAGTATAATTGATAAAGACATTGCACTACTAGCTTTAATTCTTTTTTCATATCTGTATCACAGAGGACAACAGACTGATTTAATGTTAAGTTTAAACAAAGCAATTGATCATATCTTTATTTCCCATCTTACTTTAAAGTTTTGGTTTTTGTTATCAAGTGCAGCATTTTCCTCTAAATGCATTTCTTATTGCACGCTTGTTAAATCTGATTTAACCACTTTAACCTAACATGCATAGATACATGTTTTTTCTGTTAAAAGCCCGTTATATTTTCTAGACAAGTAAAAAAATGAAAGCACTTCAGCCACGTAATTTTTTTCCCTGCAAGAGCATGGGATTGTACAATAAGATGTGTAAACAGAACTAGTTTCATAAATCTAAGGGAACAAAAAGGAACTCCAGTTACAATTATTAAAAAACCAAAATAAACCATGAGATTATTTTACTAAATATACACTTACCTTGAACCTGAAGAACAATGAACAGATAGGCTCCTAGTAATCTGACATAAGCCTTCAGGCGAGTCATTGTTCAGTTTGAAACTTTCCTGTGTACTGTCACCTGTAGCAACTGGCCCTGCTGCTTGACAAATTTTAAGGTTGATTGGTTCAGAGAAGCCTCATATAAGCTTTAGTAGCTAAATGATTTAGTAGCTAATGATGATTTAATAATTATTCCAACTTGCCTCCTGAAATATATAATGAAAGTAAGATGTTAAGTAGTTGCTCAAAATTCTTCCACATTTGAAAGAAGGAAAAAAGGAGAATATTTTAAATGGATCAAATATAACTGTCCTACTGAAAATTAACTGCATACATTTATCGGGGAAAAAAATCACTAAGATTAAGCCACTTTACAGAATACTATAATTATAATGAAGCCACAATTTCAGTATGAATACTAACAACAAGATATTTTTGAGTGCACCTTAGGCTCAAAATCATATTTAGAATTTTTACCAAGATCATAAGATATAATGCTACACCCTACTGTGCAAACATTGTCTTAGGAATGTGTTGTTTTACCACTGAAGAGATTCAATCCATTTAAAAACTGTTAGCCTCTATACTCCTAGCAACGTATTACTACTATATTACTAAAAATGGTTACTAGTAAGTGAGCTCTTTAGTTATGCCTCTTATGTAACAGAAACATTACACTCAGATACCACACTTTAGCAAATGCTTGTAGAATAGCAAACACCTAAATGAAAATAATACTGCATGGAAGTTTAATTAATTACTTATTTTTACCATTATAGCCACTTAAGATATGTGAGCTGTACAAAACTATTAAAGTTATTTTTAAAAATGTAGCTGATCTCATTTTACATTCAGGCTCCAAGAAATCAGATAGAGAAGACAGTGGAACCTCTTCCTCTCTTCCCCCACTATAGCCTATTCTTGTTTTTTGAGAGTCAGTAGGGTCAAGCATTTGCTGAAAAAGATAATGTATTCCAGCAGACAGCAATGCAATAAATTATTAATAATAACTTTTGCACCACCTCAGAACATTAATTTGTTCTTGGATTCTCATTTGGGCAGACAATAAGCCACCACTGAGAAATCATGCCAACTCATGGGAATGCAACCGACTACAAAGTTAAAATATTTATCTGCTTAGTCACTAAATGAAAAAATAGATAAGACAGTTAAACTAAAAAATTCACAATTCCAGGTCCCTAGCTGGCAGATATTCTACTTGCTTTAAGTCAAATTGTTTTGTTCTCTTGCTTGTTCTCCCGTTTATAAGTTATTTTGCTCTGTTACTGTAAGCTGCCCTGAGCCTTTGTTGAGAAGAGCAGCATAAAAATTGAATACATACATGCATAAATACAATGGCTGCATTAAGTGTAGCACTTGTAGTCACTTTTTCCATAATTAAGTTTTTACTGTGATTAATAAAGCAAGCATAATTAGGCCTCAAAGGACTAAAAAGCAACTTGAACACCTAAATAGTTAATAGAGACGAAGAAGATTTTGTACTGAGATGAACAGAGCACTGATTTTGCCTTTCTCTGGCCTCTTGTTTCAGTGGGCTTGACCCCCATGACCTCTGTCAGCCTGGCGCTATTCCTGAATGCAAAAACTTGCATTTGTTCAAGGATATGCTGCAATTACTGTTGGTGGCCGCTTCCACCATAAATAACTCAATCTGTCTGTTGGTAGACCCAAGAACTTTTAATTTTAATTAGTGATTCAGAGGCATTTAACATGGAGGTAAATTACTGGCAGAGTAGGGAGGCGTCTGTCACTTTCAATTTGTATAGGTAGAGGGCATGGAGCCTTTGACCTGTGGCCTACTTTTCACACATCTGTGACTTCTTAGTAATGAAGTAACAAAGAAATTTCATCACTGCAAGATGCAGACAGAACTGATGCAAAGAGACACTATATCTGGATACAGAACTTTAAAGCCATAGAACTGGGACAGTTCTAACCGCAATGTACAATGAAGTAATTCTACTCGCATTATTATGGCAGAATAGGAAAAAAGAATTGAAATAAAACCACGATAGAAGCATTGATTTTTACAACCTTTTCAGTAATACACTAGGCAAACAGTCTGAAAAAGTAAATGCAACATACTTTTTCTTACATCTTACATCTTTCCTTCAGAAAAAGCTTTAAGCAGTGTCCAAACAATAAAATAACCAAACCATTCTAAAGCAATTGGTTGTAAATGAAAAAATAATAATGCCAAAGTCTGGTATGGAAGCAGCTTTATAGTTAGGAAACATCAATACAGTAATATTAAATAATGAATGTCATCACCTTTTCTTTATTAACCTTTTATAAGGAGGAAAAGTCTAGAAACTTAAATTATTAATAAAATACTTGAAATTAGAAAGGATAAGCTGAGTTTGTATTCAGTGCAAGAGTAAGGAAAGCCTTCAATGAAATGACTTGGTCAGCAGCTCTGATAACCTGATATATGCCTGTTTTCCTTGTTTCATAAATAAAAATGCTTATTTTTAAAATGTATTTCTTGTTTAAGTTTTCAGGAAATAACAAGTACAACAGAATCTCGCCATCTTGCTCTCTGTTAAGTTGTGATATTAACTACACAAAAACTGGTGATCTCACTTCATGGCCCAAAAATTTAATACACGAGTGTTCTGGTGAAGTCTCGTAATAAATACGTGTTTCATCCACTAGTGTGCTATGAAGTAAACTAAAACTTAACAGTCACAAAGAAATGAATTAGGTCATTTTATGTGATGCATTCCCCCTGTTCATAAAAACCTCAAATGCTCTCAGGAGGGCTTCGTATGGAAAATGTGCATTCTTTTAGCAGGATCAGGGCCATTTTACGCAGTTTCATTTACAAGGCAATGTGCAAACATAACCTCAAAACGGATCTCCCAAATCTTTGCGGAAATTAGAGAGCTTTTAACACAGAGTTAAAAGCAGCTTCAGAATGCTGTTATACCTGGGTGCTACTAATTTTATCTCCACACTGAGAATCAGTCATATATATCTAGATAGCTATATCTATTTAAATATCTATATCGATATAGATGATTTATTAAATAATCTCTAGCATATATATATGCAAGGGACTACGGACAGGCATTCAAAAAGTTGAAGCCTGAATTGATGCAATCTTTAGAGGTTAGAGTAACCTGCAAAGACTGATCCGATTTGCAAGTGACTAGACATTCACTTTTGATTCTGGAAATGCAGGCACATGCCTGCAGAGGCTCAGGCTAGAAGCTGGAGGTGCTAGAGCAGCCCTCCCTTCCCCATGACAGCAACCACAAGGCCAGAGGGAAGCTGACCTGGGGGGCATGGCCAGGCCCTGGCAGGCTGCTAAGTATGATTGCGGAGGGGTTTAAAACCCCACCCTGGCCTGTAGGGACCCTCACCTGGAGGGGAGAAGCAGCGGGGGGGGAGATTAAACTCACCTGTCTCCAGGCAGGCATGGGACTCCAGCTGGGGTCTGCCCACCTTTCCCCCAGTCCTGCTTGGGGAGCTGGGAGCCTGGCCAGAGCTGGCCAGCATGGCCCTGCTACCCATCCAGGGCTGGGGCTGGGGCTGTGGGGTTGAGTCAAGCTGACCTGTGTGTGCTGCTGAGGGCGGATGCGGAGGGGCCAGCCTGGGTTGGGCTGCCAGGGCCAGGCCTTTCCCAATTTGGCTGGGGCTGCTTTACCAGATTGCTCCCAGCTCCCAGGCCAGATATAAAAAAATTATCTTTTACTAATAAGAATTTCTGATAAATCTTAGAAACTTATTAGCTAGAAATGACTTAGAAGGGGAAGAACCTGGGTATACTAATTGATCACGAGTTATGAATGTGATGCAGCTACAAAAACAAATGTGACCATATGATGCATCAATCTAGATACTTCCTATGGAGACAGGGTAGCACTAATGTCAATGCACAAAGCACTAGGTTAGACTTCATCTGGCATTCTGTGTATAGTTCTTGTTATGCATGTTCAAGAAACATGATTTGAAACTGGACAAAGTGCAAAGAAGGGCTACTAGGTTGATCAGAAGGGCTATTAGGATGATTCAGAAAGCCAATCACATGAAAGGAGACTCAAAGAGCTTAGCTTATTTAGTCTAGCAAAACAAAGGCTGACAGGAAATATGATTGTGCATTATACACTGGGGTTGATAAACACCATTAAGAAGAAGCGCTATGTAAGCTAAAGGACAATGATGGCACAGGTACTGGCCACAATTAAAATTAAGTCTGCTTTCTAACCATTGTGAATGAGAGTGAAGTTCTGGAACAGCCTTCCAAATGGGAACAAAGGTCATTAGTAGCAGATGAAGCTTCACTAATTTGTGACAGGTATTATGTCAGGGCACTGGACTTGACCCAGGGGAGAGAAGGCCAAGCTTTTTGGCAGGTGTGGTACAAATTAGCCCCTCACTCTTGAGTACTACTCTGATCCCTTACCCTTGCCTCTGCCCAATCTGATGCTCTGCTTTCTGCTCCCAGCCCTCTGCTCCTCGTCTACTCTACTTTTGGCTCCCTGCCGTATCTGCCACTGTGCTGCATGTCCTCTTCCTGATCTGCCACGTGCCACATGCAGAGGTTGTCCTGCCACTTGCAGAACACAGGTTGCAAGCTGGCCATTCCTGGCCCAAGGGATTCCTACTAGGACTTCATGTAATATAATTAAAAGGGACACAAGTTCAAAATCTAATCACAATGACAACTGTTTGTAAATAGTTTCAAATTCTGAACCTGCAGACTTCCCTGGTCAAATTTAATCATTTTATATCCATCGCTTTTTCCTGGAGAACCTTTTCTTTTCTCCGAGAGAGAATTCCACACAAAGAAGCAAAAGCTAACTATACTTAAGTGCTGACAAATTATCACACAATACAAGGTAATTCCCAACCCATCAGATTTAAGTGCACTGCATTATTTTATTGTATTATGAATAATGAAACTAACACATCATTACAATTCAGAAGCCAGACAATATACCTGGGCCAGATTCATAGGTGATATAAACCAGTTTAGCTCCACTGAGATAATGCAGCCAACATAAATGTTTAGAAAGAACATAATCAATTTATCCTTATTAATTTTTAAAACACATTCTGTCCTGTACTAATTCATGTAACCTGAATGGGTTTTGCTAGTCCAATCATAAGCAATTTATTATGACAGCACAATTAAGTTCTAAAACTTAAAATGCGACAGAAATGCACATTTCAGTGCTCT